TTTCCCTCGCGCCTCAGGAGATGAAAGAAAACATTTTTCTCCCTGAGTCTGGCCTTCATAATTCCATTCCATCACAGCCTTCTTTATATTTAATCTTAGTCCTATTTTTTCACTGAGCTCCTTGACTTTCATTATTAGAGCTTGCAGATCCTGTGCATTTTCAGCTGCCACAGGTACAGTTAAAAGGCAACTAAATCTTTTGGGATCTGAATGTGGAATCTAAGCAGAGGCCTTCACCTGAGAAGGTCTGAAGAGGAAACCAGCAGCATCACTTTCTGGGGGCTGTCTCTCCTGAATCCTTAGGGCTTCAGAATTACTAGTAACATCTGGAGCTAACCAAAGCGATCCATGTGCAGGCTTTTCAAAGCCCATTATCCTGGTCTCTGGAATGCTGTGCATTGCTGATGCAAGGAGAATTTCAGTCCCAGTATTCCTGGCACCAAACTTTCAGTGGGTGGCCAATTTTTTAAGGCTACTCTTATCTCTTATTATTTGTTTCCACGGTGCCTTCAATCCACTTTAATTAGAAATTAGAAGCTTCCCTATTACTCACACCACAGGAAGACAGTATGATATATGAGGAAACTCGAGAAAATGGAGTCATCCATTTTTAATAAAAGAGAAACATACATCACCTAGAGATGGAAAAGACAAGGTAATAAGGATTGCAAGGGGGAATAATGGGATGCAGTGGGGTTCTTCGTGGAAAAAAGCTGAGTAATGTTTTAAACTGTTTTGCCAAAAAAAGGAAAAAGGAAAAAGAAATGCGAGAATCCAAAGCATTGCAAGCATCAGGGGTAACAATATACTTTCTGGTGGACACTTGGAAGTGGTGAGAATATAATAATTCCTGGAAAACCTGAGGTATACTTTGTACCTGATAGGAGGCATAATATGAATAAGATTATTTGGTCCAGCTCCTGCTCAGTGAAGAAATCCACAACTATAGCCATTTCAGTTAGACATGAGAATCCTACCCCCATTTCTCACCCCCCGCCCTTCCTGGTGCTTTGATAAAGCAAGTTGGCCTTCCAAAACTACAAGAAGAAATAAGGCAAAGATCAGAAGACCTGCTGTAGGAGCAGGATGGGAACCCACTTCAGAAACTTTTATACTGCCTTATGCTCTATGAAGCAGAAAAAGCAGGATATAAATGCATTAATGGAGTGATCCTAACATTAGATTGGAACACTCCATACTCAGAGCATTTCGATGGTCCTGCTGGTGGACCATGAGAAGGAAATAGGAAGGAGCATCTTTTGCTGATGGATCACAGAGCAAATCAATTCAGAATTGTCCCTTGACTTACAAAATGACCATGTTCAAATTATATTTTGGACACATGCAAAAAACCTAGCTCCCTTGAGAGGTCTATAATTGTGAGAAAGATGGAAGGAAAGAGAAGAAGAGGATGACTGCTAGTAAGATGAATGGAATCAGTTACAGAAGTAATGGGTGCACCATTGGAAGACCTAAGCATTGATGTTAAAGCATATGGGTGTTAGATTCTTTTGTTCTCATATCTACTGTATTATTTATTTGGATTTTGTTTCTTTCTTGTAAAACAAGAAAAATGGAAAGTATTACTATTATTTTATTACCACTACTACTACTATTATTTGTCAGCAATCATCCATACACACACATGCACTCATCATGCTATTCCCTTTTGGGGTAAGTAATGCTATACAAAGTGCTGAAAGAAATAAGGAAGGAGGCCAAAGAAATCAAAAGCTTGCGATAAGGGTCAGGTTGGGGAGACATCCTTCTAGAGAAGGACTATCTATGAGGTTGCTAAGAGTCAATGCTGATTTGATGGCACAGAATCAATCAATCAGTTGCTGTCCTTTATGTTTTCTCTGTGGTTCAAGAAAAGAAAAGAACTGTCCTCCTTTTGCATGGAGTAGTAGGCAATATATTTAACAAGTTAAGTAGCTGAAATTTAATCAGGACCAGAGGTGTGGTCAAGAATATGGACAAAAAAGCTTAAGGTCCAGCTGATCCTCATTTGCATTTGCCCTGCTTCCTTCTGGAGGTTCCAGGTGTCACATCTTTAGAAAAAGCTCCCCCCACCCCCAGGTTAAAAGGAGAGGAAAAGGGAAAATACAATGTTAGAATTTAACTCTCTGAAGATGGCATTTTTTCAAGGACTTTGGAAGAGGGAAGCTCACTTATTTTACATAGCATGTAATCTTAGGCAATGTAGGATTGTGCCTTACATAAATAATATTAATACAGTTAGATAAAATATTTGTATATCATTTCTCAACTTCTTTCAGATACCAAAAAGTCCCTTAAGCAATCAGCAGAAGATTAAAATACATAGAAATAAGAGTATATCTCTAAGCATTGACGTTAAGCATGTTGATGTTAGATTCTTTTGTTTTTGTATCTACTGTATTATTCATCTGGATTTTGTTTATTTCTTGTAAAACAAGAAAAAAGGAAAGAATTACTATTTTATTACCACTACTACTACTACTATTTGTCAGCAACCATCCATACACACACACTCATCATGCTAAACTCGGCATTGCAATGTGAATCTAAGTGAGTACCTTGTATGCTGTTGGTTGAATTTTACTTGCTTATTGAACTAACATTTAATAAAGCTTTTAGAACTTTGAAGTAACTTGTTTTATGGTGTGTCTGCCTCCTGTGTTTAACGTGGTTTTTTCTCTGACACTTCATACCATATCAGTGGTACTAAGTGGACTTGATCAACCTATAAAGTGCAGTGGCCAGCTAGACCTTTG